GAGAACTACAATCTGCCTTGAGCCGAAAATTCCGAAACTTATTCACTCCTGCTATAAAGTATAAACTCGAAAAAGGGATAACCTACTTCTGCAAGGCATTTGAGTGAACGCGTAACTGTTCTCGGAGATGTCACAAAATCGAACACAACATTGACTCCTGTTCGAGCTACATCCTTCGTACGCATTATCAAATACTCTTCGAATTCTGCAACAAGAAATCTTGAGTCAGTCGTCCCTGCTGAAACTGGTTTGAAGAATTTTGCACAACCATTTCATGACGCCAGGGACAGCTGCTGTACAGCGTTCCAACAGTAATTTCTGTTTGCAGATAGTCTTATCCGATCAGCATACTTCTCTAATGCCGTCAGAACGGATCGGATCAGAATTTGGCTAAGAACTGGAGAAGCATTTTGGATCAACAACTTCCAAAAAGGAAAGAGAAAATGCGAGATGAATAATCAACCAAAAATTTGATTGATTTGCATAAAATCGTCTGAGACTGAGCAAAGGCAGCATCAGGAGGGTAACGTACCCACGTCTGAACTGATTGCAAGCAACAGCTAGGTATTAGAGAACTAAACTGATCCAAAACTGATTGTATCATAACTGTGTCTAAGGCAAATAAGTGCGACAAATGTGACTCTGATGACTCAAAGATCTTGCAAATTTGAATAATAACCGACCAACTGATTATCAGAATCAAGTTCAAGCATTACAAGTCGACGACCTTGCTTCACTTGAGTCAAAAGAAAAGGCAGAAACAAGTTTCGCAGAAAAAAAAACGCTTACCGGAATCATCCCAATGCACAACAAAGTCAGCTCCATTCCTTTCAGCCAAGCAAAGTCGTTCTTCTTTTGCGTCAGCAACCATCATACGGATTTTTCTGGAGGAACTTTACAATAAATAATCTGCAGCAATTTTGCAGCAAAATAACCTCGAGCATACCTGTCATGCCCCGCCACGAGAAAATGCTTAGCTAATTTCAAGAGCCAAAGACCGAGGCCACCAGCTCCAACAATCAAGATATTGCAGAAACCTTTAGATTGTGAGAATGCTTCTACGATAGGCCGGGCCTGGAATGTACAAAATATAAATCTCTCTAAACCGCCTCTCTTTGATGCGGAGAACTTCGTTGGAACAAATGCGAGCTCACGAAATTATATCGGCGTCATTTCCGCATTTTCGTTGTTTTTGTCCAAAAGTTCATTTGTTTCAATGATATTTTCTATTTTCAGATACTCAATGAACAATGGCGACCCAGGGTGGTTGATTAATAGACATATAGTAGAATGAGAAAGCTGTCAGATTTCCACTCAGTTGTTCTCAAAACTAGAAGCCTTCTTTAATGCTTGCTGCCTAATTTTAGAAGAAAAAAATAGAATTTAGATATTGATTTTTTAAGTTCAACTTAACAATATTCATATTTCTCTTTTGTGACTGTAGATTTTTTTTCTGGACCGGTCCCTGCCAGGACAGAAAATGCACATAAGCAGTCGTACATTAATACAATCGATATGAATTACTCAAAAGTATTTGTCATGAGATGTTTTTTTT